ATGACTTGCCTAGATATAGATAATTTCAGAATCTGATTCAAAAATATTCCCATAATCCCCAGCATTGCCCTTTCCTGAGACTTCTTGTTGTGATAATCTAAAGACAATTTATATGAATTTCTCAGACCTTATTTGATGCTACCATTTTCTTGTTTTCCTCTTTCTTTCCCTTTAGATTTTCAATGTTAAGATGGTTATAATGTCCTTTACAATTTATGTCTCTTTTCCTTGTCCTTCTTGCAGCCCTATTATGCGTATGTTACTTCGTTTCATGTTGTCCTGAAGCTCCCTTAGGCTCTCCTCCTGTTTTTTAATTTTTTTCTCCAGTTGCTGTTCAGATTGGGCTTGTTTTTCTACCTTATCTTCTAACTCACTGATTCGGTCTTCTGCTTCTTTTAGTCTGCTGTTGAAACTTTCCATGGTGTTTTTGATTGTAGCTATATCACTTTTCATTTCTTCCTGATTCTTGCATAGGTTGTTGATTTTCTCATCCATCCGGTGAATGAATTGTACAACCATTATTCTGAATTCTTTTTCTGTCATGTTGCATGCTTCAACTTCATTAATTTCCTTTCTTTGTGATTCTTCATTGTCTTTCCTCTGGGTGTTGTGTCGTTTCTTCATTCTGATTATCTCCCGATGGTTCAAAGGTCGAGTTGCGTGGGCCTAGGCTGTGTGCAGTGGGAGCCTCCCACCACGCTAGTGTCACTGAAGAGCTCTGACACTAAGCTGTGTGGTTGTTGTTGGTTGGTGGGAACCAGGCTCGCTCTGAGTCAGTGTTGCCAGCGCTCAATATGGCCTCGTATGTGCCCTTAGAATCAGGGACCCTGCCTGCACCGTGTTGAAAACCAGAGCCCCCTAGCATGCGCCAGGAGTCAGAGTTCCCCAAGAGACCAGTATCAGAGTCTCTGCTGCTTTGCGCGACCTCGCCTTGAGATTCCGGGTCCCTGTGTGCCCTTGCACCAGGAAATGGATTCACTGGCTCTTGGTATGAATGCACAGGGTATCAGGATCTCAGGCGCAGGTGATAAGAAACACAGTCAAGTCACTGGTGCTTGGTGCTGGCTCCTGCCCGGAGAAATGGGGTCCCTGGGACTGTGTTACGCGGACAAATTCCCGTTCGCGCGTTTGCTCCCAGCCCAGGGCTCGGAAGCCCGCAGTGGGCGTAGGTTCAGTTCCGGGAGTTCGCGCGCGTTTGCTCCCAGCCCAGGGCTCGGCAGCCCGCAGTGGGTGTAGGTTCAGTTCCCGGAGCTCGCGCGTTTGCTCCCAGCCCAGGGCTCGGCAGCCCGCAGTGGGCTTAGGTTCAGTTCCCGGAGCTCGCGCGTTTGGTTTGCTCCCAGCCCAGGGCTCGGCAGCCCGCAGTGGGCTTAGGTTCAGTTCCCAGAGCTCGCGCGTTTGGTTTGCTCCCAGCCCAGGGCTCGGCAGCCCGCAGTGGGCTTAGGTTCAGTTCCCGGAGCTCGCGCGTTTGGTTTGCTCCCAGCCCAGGGCTCGGCAGCCCGCAGTGCACAAAGAATCAGTTCCAGGGTACTCGCGCACTTCCAGGCCAAAGTTCTGCAACCCTGAGGCCCCGGCAAGGGGAGGGTCTAACAGTTAGTTACCCAGGCGCTGCCCGCGAGCCTGCGGGAAGGGGGGATGGGCTCTGTTACTCACGGATCTGCAGCGGGGATCTCTGAACTCTATGACAATGTATTTAAAAAGCCTTAGAACACATTAAGTTATAACGTCAATGATTTGCTATTTATGAAAGACATGTAAAATGCCAACATAAGCCAAAAGAAAGAGGATTAATAAAACATATGAAAAACATAAATAGCAATATAGTACACAGGACACTTTTATTATGAAGGTAAAATTAAAGATAACCTTGTTACTAGTATATATATTGGGAACTGAATGATGTAGCAATACATTTTTTTAAAAAATTGTACAAAATAATATTCTATAACATTTTCAAATGTCCTTGAGAAAACGGGTATCGGGCATATATTCCGTCAAGTTTTACTGTGAGTAAAGCTAATGTCATGAGTATGCAGGAATGTGGAATAAAATTGATGTCTGTACCTACTCCACATGGGGTTCATTTTCCACGCCCCACCTCCGGGGGCCAGGTGAACCTTGGGTCAGGACTGCTCGCTTCCTCGGTTGGCGGGGAGGGTCAAGGTCGTGAGCAGGCTGGAGACAGTCCTCCCGCTTGGGGACTGGAGAACATCTGATTAACTGAGACTCACAGCAGACACTCAGGAGTAGCTGCCGGTTACTCAGACCCAGGAGCAGACAGGCACGTGGCTGGAGACTCCAGAACCTTCCAGCTGAGAGGGCGCTGCGGGTATAACCAGCTGCTAATGCACAGGGACCTTCTCTATGGTGCTGATGGCTCCTCGCTAGTTAGAAGGTGATAATTAGGCGCCAGGGACACCCACAAGGACTTGGAAATGAGGAAGCGCTGCCCCAGTTCCTAGGGACGCTGTGTCCTTCACTCTGGGAGGGGGCTGCATCCGCAGGCTGAGTCTGCGGGCTTCTTCCCTCCGTGACATCAGCGTCACGTCTGTCACCTTGCGGGTGGTAAGTCAGGTCCTGGGTAGATACTCCAGGGAGGACGCGGCTAGAACAGAGCCCCCGCATGTGAACATATCCCAACACGCCATCGCTTCCCTCAGCTCCGTGGTTGTAATTGCATTGCCCACTTCCTGTCGGGGCTGGTACTGTTGCGAAGGTCAGGCAGGAGGCTGTGGAGGCCTGGGGTGGGTCAGGGATGCGTCTATTCGAGAAGAAGCCGAAGAGAGATTGCTGGTATTTTGACTTTGAGGTGCCCGTGGCCTGTTCCGGTTCGGCCCACCGTGGGTCTCTCATTTCTTCTTGATGACACCGACATCCTGTCACCGAGGCTCCAGGGACAGCCACGGGTCACGCTGCACCCTCACTCTCACCGTCACAAGAATACGTCACGCGCACCCCCTCTTAGATGCTCGTTAGAAATCCGGGTGCTCATCTCCTTTCTCCTTTTTTTCTCTTTTTTGACTTATTTTTACACCCATCTTTTCAGCATATGTACTACGGGATTCTTCCATTCTTTTCAACTTTGCTTTTGTGCAAAATGGTAAAAAAAGAAAAACTAACCCAAAACAACAAACAAACCTGAAACAAGTACTAAAATGCTTCCAGGCCAGATTACTCATGACTCTAATCTGTTAAGAGGAAAGGCCTGTGATGTTCACCCACCGCCCACGGGGAGGCCAGGCCACCGGGGACCTGCTGGCCCAGGGCCCCTGAGGCCGGAGAGCTGGCTCGTCCTGACAGGGGCCATGGCTGGCCTGGCTGTGCCCGGCGCGGGGCTCACGGCGCCCTGTCCTCTGTCCCTGCAGGTGGAGATCGAGAAGCTGGACTACCACCACTACCTGCCCCTGTTTTTCGACGGGCTCTGCGAGATGACCTTTCCCTACGAGTTCTTCGCGCGGCAGGGCATCCACGACATGCTGGAGCACGGCGGGAGCAAGATCCTCCCCGTCATCCCGCAGCTCATCATCCCCATCAAAAGTAAGTGGGCACCACGGCCTCCCGCGGCCCGGGACCGCCTTCGGGCAACTTGCCACTGACACAACAAGACCACAGACGGAGGCTGCGCCCGCCGGGGTGGGGGGATTTTCATAAGCTGGCGCCGGGGCCACATCCCAGGTCTCCTAGTTGACCCACCAACACATGGGAGGAATAATCACTCAGCGCAGGAAACAAGACGTAGCCTGGGAAGGTCTCGGTGAGACTGTGCCCACCCGCTGTCTGTTCCCAGCCACACGGTGTGGGTGGGGCCTGAGTCACTGGGTAATGGGTGTGTCTCTCTTCCCCACACTTCCCTCTTCGCCCTCCGTCCTTCAATAGCTCCATCGCCATGAAATCAATCAGCAGTCGTTACACTGTCGTGGCCGCATTCCGCTGTTCACTGTCGCTCACACATCTACTCTGACTACGTTACTTTCCTCCGACAACTTATTCTTCTCAGCTTTGGGAATTGCCTCTCATTTTCTTTACTTAATTTGTATACAGTATGTACTTGGTTGTCAAATATTTCAGAATTTACTGACATGGTGAGAGCACGCTGGTGTTTGTTCATCTCCGTTCCCTCCTGTGGCTCTTTGTACGAGCAGCAACACTCACTTGTGAGCGGTCTGCTGGGAGGCGCGGCGACTGGCCGCCGTGGGGTTACAGACGCACCCTGACCTGCAAAGGGCCGCACGTAAGGCGGTGGCCTCCCTGGGGCCGCTCTGATGGGCGGGGTCACCGGCTGTGAAGGACGAATGTGCAGACTCGGCTGAGGCGACCTGAGCAATGACATGTTCAGGAGCAGAATCTTCCTGTGAAGAACACCCGGAGGAGAACCACACCCCGCAAGGCTACCATGTCAGAATCCATATCCTACTCCCCACATTCCTGTGAGCATTTTATTTAATCAGAAAGGAGCCAGTACAATTGAAACGTGCCACCCTTTATTTGTGGTCTAGTAATTTTATTTGTAGATCTTGAAAATTTCCAGGGAAACTCTTTTAAAAGTGATAATAACTGTAAAATGGCAATGCCTTTTACTTCAAGAAGAAAATATCCCATTTATTCTGAAAATATGGGGGGAAGGTGTGCTCCTCTGGATGGTTTTGGTTACAGAAAGAAAAAAAAAAAACGGGTTCAAGTTGTCATGAAGAGCTGGTTTGCTTAATAAGCCACACACCCAGCACCCCGGAGAGGGCCTCACCACAGGCCTGGTGGCGTCGCGTGGCGTTGCCACTGTCACTGTTTTCTGCAAGGTCACCTTGAAGCTTGGCCCCAGGAGGCTCCGTGTAGATCCTAGGACCACCCCTTACTTATCCCCTGTAGGAAAGAGCGGATTTCCCAGAATCTGTCCCAGAATTTCTGGAGATGGTCAAAGTGTTGCTCTGATTACACCAGCGGGAGGTTCTGCTGAGCTCTGGCCTGTGTTCAAGGGGAAGGGAACGTGCTGACTCGCTTAACCCGGATGATGTAACTACCCGCAGAGCAGGGGAGGAGGAGGGGCCAGAGGGAGCCTCCCCAGCACAGGAACTCCATGGCAGAGACACTACCGCACAGCAGCTCTGCATGCGGACCCTCGGGACTAACTCGGCCAGCGGGCTGGGAATAGACGCGATGTGTGCTCTCTTCAAACCAAGCACTGAGGGCCCGTGCACAGTCCTCCGCCTCTCCTCGCCTGGCCCCCACGGACCTGACTGGATCTCTACCATGAGTGAAAAAGTGTTCTTCTCCCTGTGAAACCACTGAGGATGAAGGGCCAACCTATTGCTGCAGCAAACTTGGCCCATACTGACCCATCAGATTCCCAAATGAGACCCCATGGCCATTGAGGGAAATGGATTCTGGACATTTGGTAGCTGGTGCCGAAGCCCATCTTGCTCTGTGCTCCTTCAGAACTGTGTGGCCCTTGCAAAGGCCCTGGGCCCAGCCTTTCTGTCCATCTCCTAGAGTTCTCATCTCCAAAACAAGGCGATTAACAGGTACTTCAGAGAGTTGTGATCGTTAAGTGAGATCATGTAGAGAGGCCCAGGTCGGGTGGTCAGCAGCTCTTCATAGGCGATGCGCTGTGCTGCGTATGGGCCATCAGGGACAGGTGGGGCTGTGACATCCAGGTAGCCGGTGGTTGCTTTCTCTCTTTTTTCCTCTCTATCCATTTCTCTCACTCGTCATCTGTCTAATACCTTCCCACTTTCAATCCCCCTTCAAGAAAGTCATGATCTAAAATCTGGTGTCACTCCACGTGAATTCCTGTGCAGAAGAACGTGTTAGTAGATGCAAGATGGTAGCAGCCTGAGGCCAAGGTTAGCCTCAGAAGTATTGGAACAGTTGCCTGGTCACTCGCCAGAGGGAAGATTCCTTCTGGGCTGTGAGTGGGTTGGATGCCCGTATGAATAGGGAAAAGGAGTCAGAGTGATCCAGAACCAAGACAATGGGAATGGAGATGATGGCCGTTCAAACTAGAAAGGTGTAATCGAGTAAAAGGGAGAAAGAGCTGAAGATAGCAGCATTGCATTTTCCAACTGAATTCACCATGTACTGACTGTCCCTTTCCTGTCCTCAAACAACTGCTCTCGCCCTTCTAGCATGCGTGATGGTCAGGAGCAAGGTCTAAGCTCAGACTCCCTGGTCAGAATCCCACCTCTGACCAGTTAGCCACACTGAGGCTCCACGTCTCCATTCATAAAACTGGGACAATAACGTATCCGTCCCATGTGTTATTTCGGTGGCTAACGAGCTCATCTCTTTCAAGCTCTGAGCAGACAGAGCACGTGCTGTGTGATAAGTGTTATCACTGTCACTGCTGTTATACATGTAGCCTCATCACCATCGTCCCCACCATCGCCATCTCCGCTTGACCATGGCAGCAGCTTGTAGTCACACCGGCTGAGACCTCATCCTGGGAGTCTCCGTCCTTCCTCCTGAGGGCTGAGCCCCAGCCCAGGGACAAGCTCTACCACAGGCGTCCCTGGCTTTTTCAGAAGATGCCGGCGCACCCAGTCCTGTCACATTGACGCGCTCCTGAAGGACAGGCTACGTGAGCTCAGCACTCAACCCGTGTCTAGTCCGCTTGCTCAAAGGCCGCGCTACAGTCTGCAGATCTGCACCGTTTCTCCTGCCTCAGGCCCAGCCCGGCCCCGGCGCCCCCCAGGGCTTGGAGGGAAGGATGCTGGGAAGAAGTGGGGTCTGGCCACCCTGAGCACAGGCTGTGGGCTCATGCAAACCAGAGCCCGCTTGTCTTTCACACACATCAAGTCTTTTCTCTCTCAGGGGATCGTGAAGCAGCTGCCCAAGCATGCTGCCAGGATTTGCACCTCCTAACAAGTAGACGGCTGAGCACAGTGCCCATCGAGATGGCAGTAACAGCAGCTTATTTTTACCTCTTTGGTGTTCCCTCACGGTCATATCTCCACAGACTGCCTAACTTTGGGTCATCATAGAATGGATAGATTTGTGGTCTGTAACTTTCATCCACGTGACCGTAAAGATTGAGATGGGAAGTGGGCCAGGTCAAGGACAGGCCGCTACGCATCCCTCCAGGGACTCGGCAGGTGGACACCAGACCATCGGCGCCTGTGCGTGGGTCCGGCTGATCACACTATCACAAAGAAAAGGTCTCGCTTTCCGCCCTTCCGCAGCTGGCCTACAGGAGGAGGCTGCTGACCCAGCTGTTGGTGAGCTCCCTTCTGAGTAGGCGCGTTGGCCATGCGAGCTGAGCTGGCAGCTCACTGCAGGGACCATAATCACCGCTGTGTTCCTGGGAGCTCGAGATCACGGGCTTGATCAGTCCCAGAACTGAGCCCCACACCGACTCAAGCCCGGGGTGTGCACTTGCTCGAGCGCTCTCTGGGGGAGAAAAGGGCCTCTCCTTGGAAAGGGGTACATTTGCCCATTTTCCTCTTTTGTAGCAGGGCTCTCAGCCTTCCTGTTCGGTGAGAGCCGGTGTACATCACAGCCGTCATAGTTGACTCTGACGTGGCTGCCGCGAGGGGGGGAGGACCGTGAGGGTTGCACTGTTCTTTGGGGTCCTCTGTGTGGGTTCTCATCGGCCGTGTTGGGTCTGAATTGTTGAGACCGTTTAGATAACGGAGTCCTTTCGTCCTTAAAACTAAGTCAGTCATGAAAAGAAAGGCCAAACACTCTTACGAAACACTACATTGTACTCTGTGGTCCTAAAGTCAGAATACATTCTTGTCTATAAAAAAGGCAGGGAAGGGCGGAGGGAGGGAGGGCATTAACTCCTGTAATGACAAAGCTCTCATGGAAAATCTGAATTTTGAATTAAGATAGCACCTTTCTGTGTGGGATGAGAGAAAAAGTGATGCTTTTTGATGTGACGCTGCTGGGAAATGAATTAGAGAAAACATCTTAAGCGCTGTCAGAGGCTCGCTCCACGTCGGTGAGAGCTGAGCTAAATCTGTGATCTTTTAATTGTCCCCAAATTAACTGTGCACAGCAGTTGAGTTCTGTTCTGAAAGGAGAAAAATATCTATGATTTTAAAACCTAAATTTGGTCTGAAAACATAGTATGGTTTATTTTATTCTGTAATTTAATAAATTATATGGTTAGTGCCTCTAAAGTAGCAAAATGTAATTATACTAATATATTGGGCCCATAATCTCAAATATTAATTAAATATTTGAACTTCAGAAAAAAAAATACTTAATATACTTTAAGACATCTCTAGTAGGCAATTCATAGAGTCAGGAAGTGGGTTAGAGGGTACTAGGCTGGGGGGAGGGAGAAATGGAGAGTTTTTGCTTAATGGATATAGAATTTCTGTTTTGGATGATGGAAAAGTTTTAGAAAAGATAATGTTGTTAATTGTACAACATTGTGATTGTAATTAAGGCCACTGAATGGTTAAAGCACAGTGTGTTACATAGATATTTTACACAATAAAATAAAAACAAATTATTTGAGAAGAATAAATAAGAACGGTTGGAAAACAAAAATGCCCACTCCCAGCACAACAACACTATGTTTTCTTTTAGAAAATGTG